AAAAAAAAAAAAAAAAAAAAAAAAAAGCTGTACTGGGGTATCTTACCAGCCAAGCACGTCGAAAAGGTGTGTCGATGGTTTGCCTTGTAGAATGCATGTTCCGGTCCTCCCTATCAAATTCGATTTGTAGGTGCCACGTTGAATTTTGAGGGGGGGAGAGAAGTGAAACCCACCTCTTTTTCCTTACGCGAGACATTCTACTTATGGCAATTCCTGCTGAACCACCGTGGCAGTCATTGCTGGCCTTTCTACGCCCGCCGTCTGGCGGTCATATGCTTCCCCACCCTGTCTCCCCAAATGTTGTCATCCTGGATGCGACAAGTGGCACCCACTTGGTTCGCCAGCGACGCCAGGTAAAATTCCATATATGGCATTCACCTCCCACTCGGCGATGACAGACGTTCGGCGCAGTCATGTCCACACGTGGATAAATCATCACACGGAAGCTCCAGGTAAAATTCCATAGTGTGAGTATGGGCTTCGCTCCACGACTCTCGACATCCAAAATCATGGCGGTGTATCCTTGCATGTTGTAGCGGAAGATTCACTCTCTTCTTCCACGGTCAAAAGTAGTGGAGCGAGACCTTATCCCGTTAGATTTATTTATTTATTTATTTATTTATTTTTTTTTCCAAAAGAACACATTCAGTTATATTCCAAAGAACACATCAGCCAAAAATTCTCTCTTTTTTCTTTTCTCTTACCAATTTGTTGCCGTCAGAAGCTTTTTTTTTTTTTTAACTTTGGATTGCCGTGGTAGGTAGGTAGTGACGGTAAAAAAAATAATAATAAAAATAAATAAATAAATAAAAATTGAAAGAATTCGAAGTGAGGGCATACTCACACGGGGACCAAAAGTCTCAAAAATTTGAGGCATTTGGTTCGGATTTTTTTAGGCATTTGGTCCCCATGTGGTCACACGGTCGGACCTCATCCAGAAAATCCAGAAAGGACGAAGTCGCCAACCTGACACTTTGCATTCAGGGCAAGAGCGCCAGGTCACAGGGGGGAGGACCGAAAGAAGAGATGGATTTTTTCTTTTATTTCTTTTTTCACGCTACTATAACGCTTGGGCCTTATCTACAAAGTCAATGCTCCTTGGTCGCACTTTCAGTTGTTTGGTGGGCGGTCTTCTTCGTCTACTATTCTCTTCAATTTGCGAACATAGAAAAGGAAAACCGTTGGTGGACGTTTTGGACGAGGACGGTCCGCGATGTCCAACCTCCGGCTGGTGGACCACCACTGGACCACCTTCAACCTCCATTTTTCCTTCTTGACTCGCGACCGACACCCCGATAATCGCGGATCCTCGGGCTCCAAAGGACCTCGCGAGGTCCTCTGGAGCCGAGGACGATTTGGCTGGGAAATCCTCAGAGCCCAAGGATTTGTCCTCAGAGTGTTTTCACATTTCTGTTTCGAAAATGGGCTCCGAGGACAGGTGGAACGACGACGGAATCCTCGGAAACGCGTCCCCGAGGAGTGTCGAACGACGCCCTTATAGGGAGACAACACCTATACAAAGGATAGAACCTACACTATATTATTCTCTCAATTTCACCTCGCATGATCTACCTCCCAGGAATCCTAAGCCTATACAGGGGACCCCTGCAATCATAGCTACCTCTCACAAAAGTTGCATGTGTCTGCTACGGTAACAGGCTGAAAACAAAAATCTTGGGGTACTGGTACCAGCCTGCCATGAAACTCAAGTGCTGTACCTCATGCCTGCAGATGGCACAGAAAAGACAAGAGAAAACAAACAAACAAACAAACAAACAAACTAAACCCAGATCAATGATGAACAAAAGCTGTTGCCGTTTCATTCATGAAACAGAAAGGAGATGTGGGGGAAGCCATCTGACCTAGGGCATACTCACAATAGTACTGTCCAGAGGGTATCTGACCACTACCACTGCCAATTTGCCTAATCATTGCCTTTTTTTTTCCCTTCTTCTTTCTTGTAGTGCCCTGCCAGCGAGGCAGGGTGTATTCCACCTCCTCAGGAAAGAAGCAAGAAGTGACACACGGCGCTTGGAAGCACCGCATGCAGGCACGACATGCACAGCAATCGAGTAATCTCGGCTCATAGCGCAAACGCACGAAATGCCACCAACAGAGGTCCACGACATGCACAGCAATCGAGTAATCTCGGCTCAGGATAGACCCTCACTGAGGGCATACTTCCATACTTTATCTGACCCCTATCATAGCCATATCTTCCATTCATGTTTTTTTTTTTTTTGGTTTTCCCCTATTACATTCTTGGGAATGCCCTCACTCAGGGGCCTGGACCCACTAGGGAAGTAGTCTATGATGTGTGACAGCGTTCTTGTATTTTTTGATGGTTTTTAAGTGTTTTTTAAATAAGTCAAACAAAATTGATTTCTATTATATTTATTTTTAGGGGCAACCGCTCGTGGGTCACAACCCACGTTTTGAATGGGCAAAAAAAACAGTCGTCCGCAGGTCCATCCCGACCGTAGTTCAAAACGGCAATAATAACAGTGGCCCTCGTTACACACATGGTGCCTGTTCGAAACAGGCACTTTTGTCTTCTTCTTCTTTTTTTTTTTTTTTTTTTCTTT